CAGAAAACACATCACGGTTTTGTCACCACATAAATCGGTGACACAGGCATACTGTGTAACTTTTTCCAGTTCAGATCGCAGAGGCTCCACAAGGAAGCAATTGTACAGCAAAAGGCAGCAGGAAAACTAACAGCATTGGAAGAATTTATATATAAGGTGTGGCTAAGGATGGTATGAGTAGAGTAGAATAGAGGCCTTCAACCTCTTCAACCCCAAAATAGATGACTGAGAACAGTATGCCATTGCTGTCTGTGAAATCATGAAGATGGATATCATGAATAAGAAATTACTATTATGTCTTCTAGTGTAAGAAGTAGGGAATATTGAATGAAGGTATCTGGCAGCAAATTCGAAACAAAGAAAGGACGTCTGTCACAGGGTCTTGTGGAAACTGAAATTTTGTACAAGTTCAAAAACAACTGGAAAAGGTTATTGTATAAATAAGACATTATCTCTGGCTCAAGAAATCCCTGAACTGCAAATAGCTAGAGGCTGGCAGAATAATTCTGAGGAAGTATCCCGATGTGTGTGCCCTATTTTCAGGCTTCCTTAGACTTACGCTGTTGGACACTGTTGTGCAGAATTTGGAGCTGTATGGAGCCTCTAATTCGATATGATGTGACCTTTCCCAAGTGATGTTCTTCTCTCTTCCCTGTTGTAAACTGTGGAATCACTAAATTAATATTTAAAGTTTGAGATGGTGTCAGTTCAAAGCTATTGGAAGGTATTGAGGTACTGTAAAGGATTCATTTTTCCGTAATTTTAATATTTTTAGCAAGCTTGCTTACTTTACCACTGCTTGATGTACAGGTATATAGTAGGGGAGTAGCAAGTTGAATTCTTTGTAAAGCATCGATACTGCTCAATGAGGCAGACTATACAAATGGATATTTTTAATGTCTCATCATTTCGGGAGTGTTGAAGAAGACAAAAGAATGTTTTTCTAGAATACTGAAAAAATGCTATCAAATGGAATGATTTAGGTAACTGTAGGTCCATGTATGTGATATCAATCCTGGGAAAAAGGAAAAATGTGATACAGGATTTGGTTAATTAAGATTTAAAGTGTGGAGGCAGGCTTTGCCTGCAAGTTCGTCAAGGACCGGCAGTCAAAAGGACCACCAGACAACAGAGAGGAATGAGCTGAACAGATCTAAGTTGAGGCTACAGGGCTGCAGGTTTTGAGGAGCACACAGTTTCATCTACCATAACAAAGTTTCTTTCTTTGCAGATACTGCTTTGCCATGTCAGACCCCTTCACAAAGCACTGTCTATTTGCTGTAAATGTATGTAAGCCTTATGTAAATGTATGTAAGCTTTTAAGTCAGAGTTCATACTGATAGAGGCCTGAAGGTCTGTCACTGTGCCTTATTACTTATAAACTGCTTTTGCCTGAACTGGCACTGCCTGTTTATTCAACACCAAAAAAAGAGGGATATGAATATAACCAATGTCAGTCAATTTGGCTTTCTGGAATATGTCTCTTTGGATGTGATTGGAAGTACTACATAATATTATCTTCATGTATCTACAGCACAAATGGTTTGATGTGTTTTAGTTCCTTTTTTCTCATTACAGTAATTTTTGGAGGCAGGGGATTATTTAATGAAAGGGCTTGAGAGAGATGCAACTGGCTGCGGAGAATTTTGTATTCATCTGTAACTCAAGGTGAAATGGACATATTGGGTCAGTGATTTAACTATAGGAGCATAAGTTCTGTTAGGTTATATAAGCTCTATCTCTTAATAAAAAGATAGAAGTGTAAAAGTGTCTTGTGTTTTACTTGTAACATAATAGTCTTGAGTAGACATGAAAGTGAATGCAGAAAATAGGCCACCAGGTCTGAGTATGTATACCTACAAGTCTGTGCTGCTAGGTGCATTAGACCCTGAGATTAGCTCAGTTGGTAAGAGCATGGTGCTAATAACACCAGGGTTGTGGGTTTAATCCCTGTATAGGCCATTCTCTTAGGAATTGGACTCAGTGATCCTTATGGGACCCTTACAACTCAGAATATTTGGTGTGGATTTCTGTTAACTGATAACTGCCTTTAAGGAGCAGTTTGCATTTTTGGTTTGTGTCTCATTTGCATGATTTCTAAAAGGTTTATTATACCATATCTTGCCACTTTAATATTTCTTACTTGCTGAATTAGTTGGGAAGGGTGTCCTGTTTGTATGTACCACATGTGCCGTTTTGCTAAGCAGACATCCTCTCTAGGCAATTGACTGTAGTTATTTTTGTGATGTGATTTATTCATTTCACAAATACAAACAGCTTAGTACAGAGGAAATGAAAAGATATCCTTGTCAGATGCTTAGCGATCCTTGAACAACTGCTGGAAAAATAAATATTGACTTACTGCTTTCAGGTGAGGTGATTTTACGTAATTACACATTTTGGAAAACATTTTATGATATATTTATTTCTGGTTGCGTGGAAGTTTAGGTTTTGGAACTTCGTGATGAACTGTTCACTTAGTTAATGCATCTGAATTCTTTGAGGATAAGTAAGAGAAATAATGCACTTAAAAATAGCATTTATCTTGATGACTTAAAATTATTAATGCATACGTCTGAAAAAGTCTACCTTTTAAAATTATTACATATTTCAAAAAATGTTAGTTGTATCCAATTCTTCCTGTAAGAAAGCTTTCCACTTGTTCATAGCTTAAAAAGCCCTAACTGCAACTCTCAGTTCTTAAGTTTCTAAACCACTAAGTTTTGAGTAAGCCTTTTGAGAGCTTCATTGAATAATCACCCTTTTTTTTGGTGGGCTTTTTTATTTGTTTGTTTTAAAGCTGTGATAAACAATATCTTTTACAAAAGAGGAGGCAAAAACTCAAACTTTTCCGATGTGAGAGCAGTGACTGGAGAATCAAAGGTTGAATTCCAATTCTTATTTTTCTCTGTTTTTTACTTCCAACTCTGAACCAAATTCAGCAGAAACAAAGCTGTGTTCTGAAATCAGCTGACAAAAGCTGTATTGCATCTGCTGCTTGTTGCAAATGTTATCGAGTTGTAGTAGTAGGCTTTGATGGTTCAAGTTATGGAAATTCTGAACTGGTGTTATTGAAAACTTGTCACCGTATTGTTTCGGTTTGTGTTGTACAGAACCTACTTCTTAACTGATGGTTTTTTCCTGGTTCGTTAGATGTGAGACAAAGTATCAGTGCCTGTAGTATAGGAGCCGTAAGGAGACAGGGAGAATTCTTACTGGATCACTTGAATGTGTGAAGTGAGACAGAGGAAGAAAATGACTGAGAGATGTTCGATTGACCAATTGGAGCTACTTATAAAAGAGAAGGACAGAAATTGGGGAAATGTAGAGAATGCTGGAAGCTGTCAGCAACAAAATGGCTGAGTTATAGGTGCACTAGCAAAAATTCCATTAAGTTCTCATTAGGGACAGCAAATGGGAAAGTGGAAAAGGGTTAGACTAATAGACTTTGCCTGTATTAAACAGAAGACCTAAGTGTCAGTGTTTAGAGACATGAGTTTTTCCCCCTTCTATGGCAGTGCGAAGTGTGACCTTGTAGAAAGAATTTCAGATATATAAAGTACTCTACAGTAATGTGCATGAGATGACCCCTCTCCTGCAGAGTTTGTTTCACATATCTTGTCTGGTAGGAATTCCGTTATTTTTGGAGTATGCTGTTGACTCCTGATATTATGATGAGCCTTGTCTCATATCAACTTGATTTTTTTTGTCTTTGGCAAGTAAGTTTAGTCTTCTAGCACTTGGTAGAATTCATAAATTCTTTGTGCATAAATGAAGAGTTCAAAAGAGGTGTTTGTGAATAGCAAATGAGTCTGTCTTTAGCAAGTATCAGGAAGAGAGATTATTTTAGTAAGTTAGCAAAACATAAAAAGGGAAAAAAACAAGAAAAGAACTGCTGGTTACAGTAAATAAGAATATCATATAATAAGATGTGCTAAATAGAAATGAGGGAAGTGATACAAAGAGAAGTAGAGGAGATACTTAAAACAGTGCTAGAAGAAGAAATATTGCATCTTAGTAAATAGAAAAAAATGTGCAAAATCAGAAAAAAACAGTAGGAACAAAGCCGTAGTTTTTCAAAGCTGCTGTTGCATACAAAATTACCAGTGTGATACTATAAAATGGTATGTTAAATGATATATGACTCTTAATGCTTTTTTAGTTTCAAGGATTGTGGGAGGTTTTTTGTGTTTGAGCAAAGGTAGCTTTCTCTATGACTTCTAAGTATAGTTTTTTGATTAACAGATACAGTGTTTATTTTTCAAGACCTACTAGACGTTAGAATCTCATTCTAAAATGTTTTGCATGTTATTTCCATATAGAATTCATGTCAATGTGACTTGTGTTGTGAATGCTCCAAATGAGTTAAAAAAATGAGATGACCTGTACCTTCTTTTTTATACTTTAGCTGTCCAATCTTCTGATTGAAACTCTGTACACAGTACCTTGGGGTGTATTAACATGGTGCTGTTTCCTTATTGTGCTGTAGTTTACCTTTCATAAATAACTAAGCAACACTTCTAGCTTTGTTTAATATCCTTTTATATAAACAAAGATTCATTATTCTGTAATGAAAGATAACCTTTTACATCTGCTGCTGGGGTGCAAAACATTGTTTGCTTTGCTAGATTATATAGATAATGAAGTGCAGTAAATTTTTTTTTGGAAATGTGGCTTTTTATTCATTTTTTTTCTTAAACACCCATGCATGGACATAGGTATTAAAATATTTTAAAGGATTTAAATCTTAAGATATATTTCACTCTAGTATACATCAAGAGAGAGCATTTAATAGTTTTTCCTTTGAATAACCTTAATATTAAAAGAGATCTGTTATTTGAACAGTATAGGAAATCTAAGAACATCAAATTTCTGGCATAGAATGATTCAAACTTCAGTATCAGTGTAAAGAAATTTAAATTCATTGAGTTATTGTCCATACATGAAAGTATATGTTATTGTGATAAACAATTAAAGCAGTATATGAAATAAAAACTTACCTAGGAGATATTTGATTGAAGCTTTGTCTGTGCTCTGTCAGAATATACTGAGACTCACTCAGCAGATAGGAAGCTTTTTCCTATTTGAAATGCATTGTGCACTCTCGTCTTGTGATTTCTTTTCCACAGCATCTTGTTGTTCACTGCTGCTTCGGTCTTGTGGTATTAGTTGTTTCCAGTTTATTTCCAGGTATCTCCAGTATCTGATTTCTTCCACATTCAGCATTTTTGTTTATTCTGCCCTAATCAGGTAACAAAAAAGAACCTGTGAACTTGGCATCTTCCCCTCCCCACCAATAAAAAAAAAAAAAAAAAAGGCAAATGCACCGACCCCAGTTAACTCAAGTATTCAGCACCCATTTAAAAAATCATTTAAATATTTAGAATCCAGTAAATTTGATCTGTTTTCTGGTGCTATTCCAACACTGAAAAGTTATTTTCCTGCATATTTGGTAGCCTCCACATTTTAGATTTTTGTAGGAAATATGCAGGATCAGTAGACATCAGGTCTTAACTTTTAATCCATGCAACATTATTCTGTGAAGGATGGTGAAGGTCTGCCTCTCTCAGCTCCTTATGCTTCTGTCAGACACAGATGTGAAATGCTGCTTTAGAGCAGAGGGGAAAAAAAATCCCAAAGGGTGTAGTGTTTTGTCATCTCTCAGGACAGTGAGCACGCATGGCATCAATGAGTAGCAGATATGAGCTATTCAAACCAGTCACTGAACTGACAGGATGACGATTTCATACATAATAGAACCATTAATTATTTCTTCTGATGGACAGCAGTATGTACTAGAAGAAAAAAGCAGCAGATGATAATACTAGGTTTGATAGGTTCTCTGTGTTTTAGCAGCTTGTCATCAAGAAACAAACCAGGAAAAAAATGTGGTTTTGGGATATGATCAGGTAAAACAGACCAGAGTTGTTTTGACATGGTGGATGTCATGCATAGGGTTAAAAACGCCATTCAGGGTAAGGTCAATTCATAGCTAGCTTTTTATCAAAAAGATGTTCCAAAAGATTTGCTTTGAAAATCGTGGTTTGTGTTTTGCTTCATGTAGCCTTTCACTGGGGAAACGTGGTTGTAGTCTTGTGGGTTTTCACTTATACCTTAATGTGCAGATTAAGCCTACACATTTGGGTTTTTTGCCCTGCAAAAGGAAACCTTAATGTTAAAAAAAAATATTTTTAAAAGAACTCTGTGTATGAAGATGGTGTTCAAACTCACTGCACACTTCGTATCAAAGACTGACTCACAAATCCATTTCTAATTAATTTGGAAATGTAAATCGTCTGATTTAATGTTAAGTAACCACACTCTTAGGATTAATATGTAAGAAATTATATATATTTAGTCACTTCAATGTAGCATAAGCCTTCATAAATCTGTCTTAAAATATGATGGATAAAATCTTCATTCACTGATTCAGTGTTGTTAGGGGCAACGTATGCTGATTGTGGGAAAAATAATGTGACATTCGGAACTTTTCCTTAGAATATAGTTTCTCTCTCTTTTTTTTTTTTTTCTCTTTGGAACCTTACTTAGTGTAAATTTTCTTTGAAAATATGTTGACAAAAAAATGTTTACAATCAATTTTTTTTTTTGCCTTCTGTGCATTGAAGGTAAAGAAGAGATAAAATGATGAGAGAAAGAAAACACTACTTTAAAACTGGGATGAAACATAAACCACATCAAAGACACAGTAGGTGAAGGGGCTACTTCTACTGGTTTGTACTTGTTTGCTCTCATAATTTGCCTTAGTTTGGTTTTATTGAAGCAGCAAAGTTATCTTCATCTTTCTTATTATGAAATCATGAAGAGTATCTGGATAAAGCTTTTTTTTGGTTTATGCAGTCAATAATGATAACATCAATAATGCCCTTACATCACATCAAATAACTTTTGGAATACTTTCAGTCTCTAGCTTGCATTCTGTCTAGCTCAAGACCAAATCCAAGCCTTGTAAAATATGATGACTGTAACTTTAAATCTTAAGTTGTCAATCTTGCTCTTTAGGTAAGAAGTTGAGTTGCCAAGGTTACAATGGGTATATGATGTAAAGTCCACGCTGAAAGTACTGGAATGAGGCATACTTTCTGAAATAATATTAACACTTTCTGTGTCATGATTTCTGTCCTCAAGCATACAATCCATGCCTGGAGTTGATAGCCTAAGCTGAACTCCAAGTGTCCTAAATATATCAGGATATTTCATGAAAGTGCTGATTCTTATGAAAACCTTCCAAGTGTTTGGAATCTGACAAGGCACAACCTTTGTATTCTTAGATAACCTTTTGGGAGACAATGCTAGCCTGGTCTGCTTCCCTCCTTGCAAATCCCAAAACAGAGGACTCAAATATCTACTCTGTGATTATCCCCATAAGAAGTCCTGAAGCACAAAATAACTGAGGAGTGTTTTAATACACACATGTGCAAGTGCACATATAGACATACATCTATAAACCCCACTTTTTTCCCCTCTTCAGAACAAGGTAACCTGAGCTATTTGTATGTTACTATAAAAAGTATCAAGTATTCTGTTGTCTCAAACCCAGAGATGAGGATAAACTTGGATAAAGTAGCACGTTAAAATTTAGTTGATGACAGTGGTCCTGACATCTTGATATGCAATCTGAGTGTAAGATAAGGAGATGATTGGTGTTAAGAATTCAAACTCTGAAGATGAAGCTGGTTAAAATTTTCAACCTTGACTACAGCATGAAGAAGAGGAATTGTATTTTTAGCATGGTGTTCTGAAAATCTTTTCCATTTGGTCAAGCTGTAGCAAGAATAAGCTATATATATATAAGCTGCATGACTAAAGGGGATAAATAACATCTCTGGTGGAGAATATTGCTACTGAAGTAGCAAAAGCTTCAAGCATGCACCACTGAGCACTCTGAAGGTCCTATAGTCTGTCTTGTGCCTGGATATCTAGTATATGGCTATCAGTGCTGTACTATGTGATTACTTCTTGCAGAGTTTGGTTATCTTGCACGCACAGGATGGCGTGATGAGGGATTCCATATCTGTAAACAGTGTCAGTTGACATGAAGTTCTTGAACCTCTAAGCCAGGAGCAAGTACTCGCAGGGGGCTGGCTACATCCCTCTACATATTTTCATTTGGATCAGAGGCATGTTGCAGAACTGTAAGGGGGATACTAAACAAGTTTGCAGATAACACAAAACTGGGAGGAACTGTTGACTCCCTCAAAGTCAGGGAGGCCCTGCAGAGAGACCTCCACAAATTAGAGGACTGGGCAATCACCAACCATAGGAAGTTCAACAAGGGAAAGTGCTGGATACTGCACCTGGGACAGGGCAACCCTGGATGTATGGACTGGGGAATGAGATGCTGGAAAGCAGTGCCACGGAAAGGCACCTGAAGTCCTGGTCGTTGGCAAGTTGAACATGAATCAGCAGTGCCCTGGCAGCCGGGAGGGCCAACCCTGTCCTGGGGGGCATCAGTCAAAGCATTGCCAGCCAGTCGGTGGAGGGGATTGTCCCACTCTGCTCTGCACTGGGGCGGCCTCATCTTGAATATTGTGTGCAGTTTTGGGCACCACAATAGAAGAAAGATATTAAGCTCTTAGAGAGTGTCCAAAGGAGGGCAGTGAGGGTGGTGAAGGGCCTTGAGGGAAAGCCATATGAGGGGTGGCTGAGGTCACTTGGTCTGTTCAGCCTGAAGAAGAGAAAACGAAGGGAAAACCCAATGCAAACCGCAAAGGCCCTGGGAAGGGAAAAAGAAGGGCAAAAAAGGAACGCCTCCCCGGGGGGAACAAGGAAAAGAACCGAAGGAAAGGCCCGAAAATGCAACAAGGGAAGGTTAAGGTGGGGAATAAAAAAAAAGTTCTTCACCCAGAGGATGGTTGGGCACTGGAACAGGCTCCCCAGGGAGGTGGTCACAGCACTATGCCTGATAGAGTTCAAGAAGTGTTTGGATGATCCTCTCAAGCACATGGTGTGACTCTTGGGGATGGTCCTGTGCAGGGCTAATGGCTGAAGGTCCTTGTGGGTCCCTTCCAACTCAGCATATTCTGTGATTCTGTGATTACTTTCTGATAGCAGAAAAGTTAATTTGCAGTGAGGAAGAAGTCCTGTACTTCTTGGACAGACTTCTGTTTCAGTTCCTACTTTTTTGAGTGTACACGTTATAGCCAAAAACCTCAAAATAACTACTATGTAGCTTTGGTTAGCAACAGGTTGAAACTGCACCCAAAAATCAGATCTAGGGTGAATAATGCACTTACCTGCTTTAAGAAAAGTGCTTTGTAAAAGTTACTTAAGAAGTGAGCACAATGTTTGCTTTAAAAACATTTTGCACTTTGTGTGAGCATTTGAATTAAAAGCTCACTGAAATTTCATGGGAATCTTGGTGATATTTAATATTTACAGTATCAAAGCTGATAGCTTTGCAAATAGTATTAAGCCATGTGTTAGTCTGTGTTAGTCCATTCATGATTAATAATTATGGATTCTTCAAGTCTTAAAGGTCAAATATTACCCCTACTGTATGAAAATAATTTGTCAAATATATTGGAAAAAACATTTTTCTAATAAAACTGAGTGATCAGTAAAGCTGTATCTCAGTCAACTGTTTCTACAGATTATAAAATGCATGATAATCATTAATGTTAGTAATGTAAAGAAATTGAGGGGAAAAAAAAAGAAGACAGAGTGTTGGAAAAAAAAAGAAGACATAGTGTTAGAAAAAACTTTTAAACATTTTCCTTTTTGAGAATTTTATCAGATTACCTGTTTCAAGGAAGTTGATAAGTAGTCGTTGCTTTTCAGAGAAAAGCAGTGTATCTATCAGAATTTTTTAATCACTGCAGAGCTAATGTTCTGAAGAAAATGTTGTCATTATTGCTGCTTCTTTTGTTGCTTACAAGTAGTTCTTGCCTTTATGAACAAAATACTCTTCTGCCTTATTCTTTTTCCGTTTTTCTTTGAGGGTGTGTTTGTTTGTTGTGATCTCATATCAATAATTATTTGTTATTGAAGATTAAATAATTCTGTTTTGAGTGGAATATTTGATTACCTTCCAGCTAAATAAAACTCATGTGCAAACCTGTATTTTTCAGTGTTCAATATAGAATATATTGTACATTTCTTAAAAAAAAAGATTAAATAATCAATGTGTGTATAAATAAAAATCTTCAAAGTTTTAAATTTTTGAAATCAGTTGTACAATTATCACCGAGTAATTTTTGACTTAAAAACACAAAAGCCCGAATCTTAATTATTTTTAATTTAACAACTATATCTGCTAGCTCTCAGTGAGATACTTTGTCATCTCTTAAAATGAGACTATTCTCATCAAATTAGTATTTCCTGTAGTCTGAAAAGTGGTATAGAACAACAAACTCCAAAGAGAAATGGATTGAGATAGCTTGGAAGAAAAGGAGGTTTTGTTACCTAGGAAATGAGTGAGTAAAAGTACTTAGCACAGTTCTTATCGTGTCAGACATCTGAGGCCTTTTGTGTTTCCTAGATTTTAGTTATGGCAGTCAAGTTAGACTTGAGGCAAAGTGACTTTAATAAGAAATCCTTTGAGAAGGCAGGCAAATAGTTTGTTTTCTACTTTTCTAGCTGAAGTGTTGCTAGTAGATGTATTTGGACAGAATGCTTTAATAAAATTGTATTATAATAATAATAATGATGATTTAATGTTG